AAATCTGTTTCCATACGAGGCCCAATACATTCTGGAGAAACTAGCAATGGAAAGCGTGCTAATATCCAAAGCGACTTCCAGCAATACATCTAATTGTATGATTTCTCCAAATCAAACTAAGACAATTTGGTGTTTGTGTATATCACGGGTTAGGGTTGTATTCTAACCTTACTTTCTTTAGGATGTACTTTGTAACATCCCTGTCCTAGGATTTTTATGTTTCTACACTTACTAACTTACTAATTAACAAAACCTAATGTAGTAAGGGGAATTCTTGCCCTAATGACTTTTGAGGAGAAGTTTACTTGCTTTGAGGAGAAGGACTGTATGGAATGGTTGATTTAATCATCTCGGTGGTAATCATTTTTGTTACAGCCTATGCTACAGGAACTTCCTAGGGCTTTTCGGCTTTTCCCTTATCAACAATAATAAACTGGTTCTTGTTGTTGCATTGACTGGAGGTACACTGCTGGACGTTATGAGAATCATTTCATGAGATACTATACTGTCCTTGGGGTGCTTGGTCCTTTTGTTCCTTCAAAGCTTTGAAAGTCCAAACAAGCTGGATAATATGGTGGTTAAAAGTAAAGGATTTGGTTGTTCTCAGTCTAGGACATGGATAGCATCCCTGGTATTGTAGTTGGTTATTAAAGGCTTCAACTATTTTATTATCAGTAACCAAACATCTTTCTTATGTTCCAACTTTTATTAGGACATTGTCATTTGCCAAAAAAGATGCATGTAACATGTTATTTTATTTCATTTGACAGTTCTAAGAATCACAGTTGAGTTAGAACCATGAAGCATAACATGCATCATGGTTGTGCTATTACCGTGATGCTCTCTATGTGAACCACGGTTCTCTTAGAACCGTTAAGGTCTTCATGATATGAAACATGCCCCCACATAAGAGGCGTCACGGTTGAGCTAGGATCGTGGTGCCTTAAATGGTTCACTTAGAACTGTGAGGATCCCCTAAGAGACATCACGGTTAGTGCCGTGATGCTTTCTAAGTTGTCCAACTTCACTTAAGAATCACGGTTTACTTAGAACCGTGAAGGGTATTTTGGGTCACAAAATCCCAAATAGTGAAGAAAGGGGTATGAGTGAGGTTTTGAAAGATTTAGGGTTTTTTTTCTAATAACCCAAAAAAAGGGATATTTTTTATAATTTCCCTATTTTTGACAGTGACGTTGCTGGTCTTGTTTTTTGCAGCCAAAAGTTTTCGAGGATTACAAGTACCAAAAATGTTTCTTCTTCAAGGTTTTAAGAGGGATTTCCTGCAAGGACTTCCCAAACATAATTCATGGTTCTTGTTTCATAAGATTTCTGAGTTTTGACTTTCAACTTTCAATGCTGTAGATGAGGGATTCATGCTGTGCTGTTTTGAACTTTGACCAGATTGTTTCAATTAGTGGGCATGACATGAAAATTGAATGGCAGCTGGCACACCTTTGATGGTTGTCAAAGACTCAAAGTTGAATGATCTAAGTTGCAGGTCATGCATCCCAAATCCATTAGCGGGGTTCTCAAATGTTTCTTAAAGCCTTCAACTACTTTATTATCAGTAACCAAACATCTTTTTTATATTCTAACTTTAATTAGGACATTGTCATTTGCCAAAAAAGGTGAATGTAACATCCCAGATACACATAAAGATCCTTCTGTGGGACATATAATCTTGATTTTAGATCATGTCTTTATAAAAAAACAAGACTTAAGTTTATAATTAAGAAGAAAGAAAGTAATTATGTTTCAAAATCGTGTTTTATATATATTTTTTTCAAAGAAAAAAGTGATGCTGCAATCCATTTCTATCAAAAAAGAAAGTCTAAAATGTACGTCAATCATACAAAAATATTTCTGCAACAACTTGATCGTTTTTTTTTTTTTAAAAAAAATTTAATGGTGCAAAGATGCTTAAATCCATATCAAGTAAAAAGGATATATGTCTTAAGTGCATTGGTTCCATAATTGCATTAAACAAGGGATGGCAGGGCCAGTTTTAGCAACTTTGGACAAAAGCTTAACTCTCTTATCTCTTTATATATATTCTCTTTCGATCTATGCTTTCGTTCCTTTTCTAATTTATGATAAAAGGATAGGGGGAAAAAGGAACAGCCTATTCTGACTGAAATTTATTAATTTTTATTAGTAAAATTAACAATAATTTTTTATGTTCTTTAAATTTGCATATAATTTTGTAATTATATTTTATCGTAAGAGCGCTCATGTTATGCTTCCAGATGAGGGAGCTTCTTGCTAACAATGATCCACCTAGAAGTATGGACAAGACACTTGTTGTCAATTAAGTTCTTGACAGATATTAAATAAATACAAGACCAAGAACATGATGATCATATTGTGGTGTGGACCTGATGGGCCTGCTAAAGTAGCCTTACCCTTCGGTATAGCATAAATAGAAGACCTTCTTAGAGTGAAGTAACTTAGCTACTGTAATGGAGTTCAACAGAAGATAATTGAGAAAGTATACCAGTCGAGTATTTAGAATAGCTAGAGTTATTGGTCCTAGAAATTCGGGAAAGGACTGAAGTTACTTAAAAAGCCTACTGTAGCTAAAGCATGAGCAAGCTGCTTGAGAGTTCTTAGATTGATCGAACAAAAACTTGAGAGAGCTTTGGAGCATCTGCGTTGTGGATTGTCCGTCTTTCTGATCAATTTAAGGTTAACATTATAAAAAAAAAACAAAAACTTGAGTGTAAGAGGACAGAAGTGTGAAGGTAGAAGCTGAGTCATTGAAATCCTTTGTGTTTGTCTCACTAGGATCAGAGGCAACTATTGTGTTTGACCATGTCATTCCCGCATGCCCAAGGTATTATCATCAGTTGTTGCCACCGGACCGAACTTTTTGCTGTTGTTGCAAAAGACCTACTTCTTGTGACAAGAACAGTGTGTCTGCTTGCTTCATGAGGCTACTACTCCACTTGGCTGTAGTCGCGTGAGGTGCTCCCCAGTTACATAGTCACAAACTTTAAAAAGACGATTAAGAATGTCTAGGACGATATCAATCACATCCTTTAAGCTTGATTTTCACACAAGAAGGGAGCTTAGGCAATTCTCTGAAGCCAGAGGATCAGAGAGGAAATCGTTAATTGGTGGTGGATAAGTGATGATGAATGAGGCTTGCATACCATCAAAGTTTAGCTTTAAGTAAGCAAAGTAAGAACTGATTTCCTGCTGAACGATCTCAGTTTCCTCATTAGGCTGACGACCTCTATGGAATCCATCACATTATTCTATATCCCAGAGAAATTGTTGAAGTGATCTTGAATAGACAGTTCTCTTATTCTTCCATGATACTTTCTGCTTGAGTGGACACAAACATGCATATTCATCCTAGAGTTGACCTTGTTGAAGTAGTCCCAAATGGCATTAGTGCTAGGCTGTTAATTTGCGGGTATGCGCAATATTAGGCTCCACAAATCAATAATCCATGACACAGTATAGACATAACAGTTCATAGGTGTGTATGTTCTTATTGTATGGCCTGGGGAATGTTTCCATGCACATAGCCACATAATGTTCTTCCCATGGGAAATCATCATAAAAAATACCAGAATCTCTATTGCTTGCCCTTGAGATGCACAGAAATAAAGTTGCACAGAAACAACGACACTCTATAGTGTTTTTGTGTTCCATAAGAAGAGATGAGATTTGCTTGTATGTTTGGATGAGATTCGGTACTAAGGAGAGATGTAGTCTGGTAATGGCCTTGTGACCTGCGTCCAAACCACCCCCACTACCCCAAAAAAAAAAAAAAGGAAAAAGGAAAAAGGAAGGCATTTCAGAGAATTAGTGCTCAAAAAAAAAAAAAACTCAGAAGTTGAATATATGTGGAACAAAAAAATGGCATACCAGGAAGGGATGTGGTTGACGTGAAAGACAAGAAGGTACTTCATTTAATTAAGACGATATGTGGTTGGCATAGGAGATGGCAAAAGAAGTATTTTGATTCCTTTCCAAGATTTTCTAGATCACAACAATATAGTGCCATGTCTTCAACCACAGCTTGATAATCTGGCTTTGTCAATTTTATTGGGGGATTCGCATAACTTTGATAAATGTATCTCTTCCCATCCTTTCTTTCATAAGAGAATCAGGAATATGTTGGTGGATTTTCGCTTTATGCATAAAAATAATCTAACCAGCATTATGAACAGACTTTAGATCGTAATCCACTTTGATAGCTGAATCGTAGAAGAAGGCAGTATATCACACTGTCAAGTTCTTTAACGAATTTTTGTATGCTATCCCAATGAGGATAATTCTGTTTGTTTACTTTTCTTACTAATACCCATGTTTGGATGAAAAGAAAGGGAAGCAATAATACTAGAAAAATGACCAAAAGTGGGCTGTAGAAAGGTAAGCAATAATACTAGAAAAATAACCAAAGTGGGCTGTAACTGTTTTGCACCTCAGTGGGGCAATTTGGATTTGTTTGTAATTGCATATTGCATGCAGACATTTATCATTTCTCACAATTTTCATGGTAAATAGCCATTTTATTTTATGCTTGAGATCTTATCAATGGGTTCAAATGTGTTTTACTATGGTTATATGAAATGTGATAGATTGGTGGTGTTAATAATTATTCTTGGCCACATGCTGATTTCTTTTTAGATCTTGGAGATCTGGATAGAACAGATGGTTTTCACCTTTGTTGATTGATGAAGTCTGCTCAATTGGTCACCATTTCTCATTCTCAGTGTTTCTCTTCATATGTGGGGTTGTCTTGAGTATTTGTTCATGCGAGATGGTTGAAATCATGTGTTTCAATCAGTGTGGTGGTGCATAAGCTAGGGCAAGATATATTTTTATTCAGAGATGAAAAATGTTCTTTTGGGTTAAAATCCTTCCTCATTCCTAAATCCTAACACACTTGTCCACACAAATAAACTTGTATAGTTCTACCCAAATTGTTATTATTATTTGTTAAGTGCAACATATTAACATGTCATTCACTTTCCATCTTCTCTCAGATGAGCAAATCTCCAGTGTTCCGGGCCATGCTGGAGAACAACATGGAGGAGAGTAGGAGCAACACCATTAAGATTACAGACATAACTTACGAGGTTATGTTCACCTTCATAGATTACCTTTACACAGCTGAAGTAACCCTAGATGAGGAGAAGGCCTTTGACCTCTTGGTAGTAGCAGAGAAGTATGAAGTGCAGCACCTCAAGAATGTGTGCGAGAAATATTTGACCGCCACACTTAATGTTGAGAATTCCCTTGCCAGCTTTGCATTTGCCCACAAGTATAATGCTAAGCACCTCTCTGAGGCCTCTCTCTCACTCATCTTAGACAACATGCAAACCTTGACAACCCGAGATGAGTACCGAGAGCTGGTGGCTGGAGACCCACGTCTTGTTGTGGAGATTTATGAGTCCTATTTGGCCAAGCAAGCCAATACTGCTGCCTAGGACCCAATACTGCTGCCTAGGACTTGTGAGCCAAGAGCTTGTTTCTTACCCATAGTATCCCTTCTTTATTAAGATTGTATCCCTTCTTTATTAAGAGAGAGATTTCCATCTGGCAGCCTTAATGGTATGATGTTCTCAATTCTGACCTTTGGCTTTTGGGTTCAAGTTGTGTGCATAGAGAAGAGGGAGAAGTGGTCAACGATTTGTCAATGACTCCCTCTTATGTTCTTCCCAAGGCTGCAAATCTTGTACCAAATGCCGTCTGATGTACTGTAAGTTATGGTTGGGATGCTTTATAATGTATTATAATTGATGCTCATATGCCTTAAAAGGTGAGGTGGTAGATTAATGTCTAGTCTACTTATGAGGGTGTCTCAGATATTTTTTACCAGTTCCCATTTTTAAATGAATTGCAAATAAGTATTTTCTCATGAGATTTTATATTTTCATAGTGTATATATATATATATATATATATATATATACTATATATATATACTATATATATATTATATACTAAGTAACGTAATAAGTACGTAGTACGTAGTAGTAA